CTGCTTTTTCAGTCGGAATTGATAATCAAGAAGGTGTTCTCCAGGGTCAGGCCACCTAAATTCCCATGCTGGGAACTACTTGTTCTATTTATTTCTGTGCTGTGTGACCTTGGACCAATTACACATCTCTTTGCCTTTGTTTCCCCATCTGTAAAGTGGGATGGAGTAGTATTTCTGTCGTGTTAGGACACGTTTGCAGAATGAGGCAATCATTACAAAGCCCTTAGAACAAGGCCTGGGAGATAAACGCTCTATAAAGATTAGCTGCTGTTTATCTTTTGCTGCCATCTTGCCTTCATCCCTAAAGCCTTTTTCTTTCAGGTTTATTTGCTTTGGGGCCTCACTTCCCGCATAGGTGGATCCTGTGGACTAGCAGCCTGTGATTCTGATTCGTCCCAGTTTGTTTTCTTGCTTTGCATACTCTCTATAATTTTAGTTCTTTTTCTGCCCATTTAAAATCATCATATTAGGGCTTTGGCATGTTTGTTTAATGCCATGGACTTGCTTAAAATTCCTGATCACAGTTAACCTCTTATGTAGCCCCTGTGAGGCAGCTCAATGTTCTTTCTGATGCTCGTCTGTGGTTTTCTTGGGCTCAGTCGTCCCCATCACTGGTACTAAGGGAGAATTAGGGGAAATGACTCCCTGTGGCTCTCAAGTCTCTGTGAGAGGAAGGAAACTGGGCTTATTCTTTGACCTTGGAATAGGTCTTGGGTCTTGGTGATGGGATCTAAGGACTAAAGCTTTGTTGTGAAGTGTTTCCTAATTCTATTAATAAGGGAAACTACTATTTTGTTGGAGTGTGGGAGGTTTTTGTTTTGTTTATTCGTTGGTTTAACATGGGAGAGGATTGGCATTTCTTGCTGTGAAGTTGACAAGGGTTCCGAGGATGGGTGTCCTGTGGTGGCTAGAACTGCTGAGTTGGGAACTTTATTGCCAGAAACATCATGCCATGCAGTGACTTGTTTCTTGGGGTCCTTACTCATTCTCCATGTGCCTGCCACCCTGTGTTCCTGTGGGAGATTCCTGCTTGAACACGAGCACATGGGACTTCCTGTCTTGCATTTCTGGTGTAAGTAGACGAGGACACTACTTTATCTCTGTGCCTCTCTGGCTGAAATGACGAGAAGGCCCATGGCTTACTTCTGTAAGTCCACAGAGGCCCGTCATCAGAGAGCCAGTCTCACTGCAATCATGATTTTGGTTTAGCTGCTGGTAAAAGTGTTGCGTGACATGTTAGCCCAGGAACAGGAAGAGAGAGGGCAATAAAGGGATAATAAACACTAACTCTCTGAAGTCAGTTTTAGGCACTTTGCCTTTGTTATGTGACTGGAGATGCACAACAGTCCCATGAAGTGAGTTTTATGTAACGCCTGTGTATCTCACAAAGAGATGCAATGCCTTGTAAAAGCCTGTGCTAGTTAGTGGCAGCTTTGCCCAGGGCCTGTACATTACCAGTGCTTCTCGTAGCAGTGTTGTGTCAGAATTACAGCAACGCCGACAGCCCCTTCTCTTTGGAGAGGACACAGTACGACCTCGTGCGCTGCCCTCAGTGTGGCCTCTGGGAGGCCACTGTGCCTCATCTGGCCCTAGGTTAGAGTCAAAGCAACATGAAAAAGGTTGAGAGAGGAAGAGAAGCCTCCACAAATGAGAAGGCAGGGAAGAAGCCCCCGAGGCTTGCTCCAGCAGTGGCTGCAGGAGACGCAGAATGGAGTGGACTCGCCCCCAGTGGGGAAAGCTTCAGCAGAAAGTGGGAGGCTGTGTCAGAGACAGCCAGCTGAATATGAAACAGCAATGTGATGCTGAGGCAGAGGGCGAGAGAGCCAGAGAAGGGATGGGTGCTCCAGTGTGGCTGGCGGCTGACATTGTACTCAGCACTTGTTGGTCATGCCCAAGCCAAACAGGTTCCTAATCTGCACAGTTAGAGAACAATAAGAAACACAGAGCATTCAGAGGGGAGCCTGGAATTTATGGAAATAAAGTCAGGGGACACTCCACAGAAGCTTTGGTCATTCACCCTGAGGAACTGTTACCAATCTTCAGAGGATAGATGAGATGAGAAAGAACCTTATAGCTTGTCTGGGAGGGACTGGGATGGATAGACCCACTTCAGTGAGACAGAGGAAAGGATAAAAAGTTCCCTGAGCCTCTTTAGACCTGAAATCCATGGAGTTTCATGGTACTATGTATGTGAAGCCAATTTGTAAGCTATGGAGCGGCAGGGGGAGATTTGGTAATTGAAGATCTTAAAACTGAACTCTAGGACTGACATAGGCTAGCTCTGGGATCTAAGCAAGTCACCTCTACCTTTTGTTTCAGCATTCTTAAGAGAATAATGATAGCTGCCTTAACAATCTTATAGACTTACTGGGAATCAGTTGATAGATAATATGTAAATATACCCTGTAAACTATAAAGCATTTTATAAAATGTACTTACTATTGCACAGATATCCAGTGTTTTGTTTTTTATAAGACATGCAAAGAGTTACAACTTTTTTTGGCATATGATGTATTCTAAGATGAGTGCTAATAGCAGGTTTTAGAACTACATTGTGGTTTCTGTTCTAGTATATTTGCTCTTAAAACTGAAGATTAAGGGGAAAATAAAGATGAAAGAAATATGCTTCCATATTTTCAAATGGAGCCTTTCAAAATGTCTTGGGTAGACATGGTTAATATCAGAATATTGAAATTGAATGTAGAAATACCAGTGTGTTGAAAAAAATCTACTCTCTAGTTTAAGAATCATCTCTCACTATAGTAATATCTAATTAGTAATATTCATAATCATAGTCTTTTCTAAAATATTTCTGTAAGAATGTTGCTCTTAGAATTTACACCAGTAGCTTTAAATATTCCTATCTGCCTTGAAAACAGAAATCAGTCCAGAAGGAGGATTTATTTTTCTTTAGGTAGGTAAATATGATAAGATAGATGGTGCATTAAAAAATAAAGAGAAGGGCTTCTCCAAGCTGATTTACATATTGATTACTTAAATTACTACTTAATTTAGTGCCTGCTAATAAACTGTGCCTGGGAAATGTTTCCCAAACATTTATTGGCTGCAGTATTTCTACCTACAGTGTATGCAGATCACATCCTTGTTAAATATTGATGTGCTCATGAAATGTTAATAGAATGTTAATATGAAATACAAGGGAATGTGATCGCTGGGAGCTGGGAGCCTCTGAAAACTACCTGTCTCCTGTCTTTTCTTTATGTTCTGCCTTCTCGCTTTGTGTTTTTTTTTTCTTTTTTTTTCCAGCTCATTTCCCCATCATCAAGAGATCCACATTTGCTCTCTGATCTGGCTGTCTCAGATACAAAATTTTTAAAAGAGAAATAAGATTCACTGATTGATGGGAATTTACTTGTCCTTCTGCTCTCTGGAAATGGGATTTATGGTTAGAACCAGAAAGGGTTCCTTTAAAAGAAGAGAGTGATTCAGGCTCACAGTGGAATGAGACTCTTTGTGCTCTGACAGACTGAGTTGGGTGTGTTGTGCGGAGGCCAGCACACTTCCCTGCTCACCCGGAGGGGCTCTGACCTTCATCCCTCTGCCTGTAATGTTCTTTCTCACTGACCTTGACATAGCAAGCTCCTTCTCATGCTTTGATTCTCCATGGTCTGAGACCCTTTCTTGAGCACCTGGTTATCTAAAGTCTCTTTAAGCCTTTCCTGTTACTTTTCATCACTCAGTAAGTTACTTATTTTCATAGCACTTGTGATGAACTTTAACTACCTCTTTTGTTTTTATTTGTCTCCTTCAATTAGAATGAATGCTCAGGGAGGTCAGGGCCCTTGTCTACCTTGTTCTCCATTTGATAAGGCCCAGCCATCTTCCTGGTCAATAATAGGTGCTCAATGAATATTGTTGACAAAGTGAATAAAACACCCATCCCTACCACCAAAGAATTTGTAGTCTAGCAGGGAAACAGAGCAATAAATCAGTGCATGGCATCATTGTGGATGGACCTGGGGGTCGAGCATTCAAAGTGGTGTAGCTATGGAGGAGATACCAGCCAACTCTTACTGGGGAAGAGTTTTGGAGGCAGCTTTGGACATGGATAAACTGGTTGTTTTGTGAGATAAACGGTCTCCTCTGGTAGGAATTTGAAGATTAGTAACTTTAGAGTTTTATTATTTTGTTTTGCTTTTGTTTAATCTATGCATAGAATGGTGTCCATAGTTATAAGTGATAGGAACTTCTCAAACTAGCTTAAGGAAAGAGGAGAATTGATCCAATGGTAAAAGGATTTTCAGAGGAAAGATTGAGCAAACAAACCATAAAGACAGGGAAATAGCTGTGCTACAGGAACAAGTGCAACCGGTGACTCAAATGCTTCTAGGTCTCTCATTGTCTCTCCTCTCTGTTTTCCTTTGCATTTTGGCATCATTTGCTTGTTTTGCAGGCCAACACCCAGGGAACTTCTGAGCGCACACCCCAAGGGCACCATCAGCATAGTTGGACCAATTTTTCCATTTTAGTGTGGGAAGTCTCAGGGAAGGACTCTGATTGGCCCAGTTTGTGTCACATGTTTTCCTGGCATGGTTTAGTCAACTGATGCTGGAGGTGAGATCTTGTAAGAACACGGAAACTTGCTTGGAAAATACTTAATTGAAATCTGGGAGTCCAAGCCACAGAAGGAGTCTATTCCCGAGAAGGAAAGATAGGACTGAGAGGACAAGAGAGTAGTTTGGTCACTTAAGTAAAAAGTCTTTATTTTGCCATTCTGGAAAACTCTTTACAGGCACTTTTATGTCAATGGAAACCAACAAGCAAAATAACCTCTTACGGGGTCAGAGGGTTGTCAGAAATTTAGAAAAAATGAGAATTTAGATCCTATGTGCTTTAGGTACTATTTTGTCCCGACCCCAAGAATCTTAATTTGAGGATCTGGAGTGGATCTCTGTAATTCCCTATTGGAATGGAGCCAGCATTCTTGATGTTTTCAGCAACCGAGTTCCCTCTCTGATCTACTCTCTTTCCCATTGCAGATTGTGCTTGAGAACAGTAGCCGAGAAGACAAGCATGAATGTCCCTTTGGCCGCAGCAGTATAGAGCTGACCAAGATGCTGTGTGAGATCTTGAAAGTGGGCGAGTTGCGTAAGTACACTTGTTTCTCACACGAGTGTGAAGCGTGGCAGAGACCCAGCTTCCAGGGCTGGGCCCCTAACTGTACAAAGAAGGCCAGGGATGCTGAGTTCTCATGGTCATCTCTGTGGATTGATTATTCTTTGGCTGAGGCTTACAGATTATGTATTTTTGCATGTTTGTTCTGGAAATAAATGTTATTAAAACCTACAGGAATAGAGAAATATGCAGGTATTGTGGCTGAGTTGCAAATATTATGAAAATGAGTACATATAAAAACAGCCTTGCCTCTATTTAGGAAAAAGAGTCATGGATTTCTTTTTTTAAAATTCCAGTTTATAACCTACTAGTAGATCATTTTCTTTCTTTCAAAATGATTTTTCTTTATAAAGAAAAATTGAATACTTTAATGAAATTCTCTTGCTCCCAGTGTTTCCGTTGTTTGGAACACCTTCTCTAAGAAAGAAGAAATTATTAAAGAAAATGAGTAGCTGAAAATGAAAAATGTGGTTAGTGATATGCTTATTGCTCTTTTTTTCTACTTATATCACACAATTTATGAAAGGATATCCAGAAAAAGAGAGGATTATAATTTTATTGCCTTTTTCTCACTAGCATAATTGGACTTTAACCTGTAAAGGTGGGTGTGATTTAACCTGTTCCCGTTATCACTGTCAACATTGCGTCTCCTTAAACCAGCTGACTTCCACCCATATTTATATGTGTGCCAGCCAGCAGGTGTATAAATCTTCCCTCATAGGCTTAATAATATGAGCACCGGAGAAGACTGTTTATGCCAGAAAAATGTTGGGGTATTTCGTATTATTGTGAAAGCATAAATATTCAGTTACCTGCTTGAGAGCTTAAAATAATGATCTGAAATGATTAATGGGAAGGAACTCGATGATTAAATTGGAAAGGGGGTTATGTTTTACTTACAGTATAGGGAGACTACAGGTACTGCTGAGATAAACTGGAAAATTCAATACTTAGTAAGGAAAAAAAACTAAGAATTTGAGCCTGTTTGACCAAGCAGGAGACTTTATCATCTTCCAGTGAGGGCAGGTAGCAGAAAGCAGCTGAAGTTGACATGGAACTGCCATGAAAGTTCATCACTTCTGAGCCCCAATCTGGGCATTTTTGCATTGAACAGTGGCAACCTAACGTCAGAAATTTCTGCATGAACCTACCCTCTGGTTTACGGCTCACCAAATGTTGAGATTTCAGCTTATGTGGATCCTTGACTCGAGTTACCCTTCCTGCTTCCTAATTAGGCTAACTTGTTGAAATTCCAGTCTGCAGCATCGCTTATTATTTATTCAGCTTAAAGGTATAAATCCTAAATAAAACAAATCCTACTGAACTCCTCCATCTGATAACTGTGACTATTTCATGTTTATCTCAATTTCTTGGGAGAAATTGTTAAAAGTCACTGGCTGAAAAGCACGTCAAGACCATCTAAGAGTTTTCGTGAACTGGAGAACAGCGGTGTTCCACTAAGCTGCTATTTCTGTATCCGAGTTTTGTCCCCACACTGCCCTTTCCTCATCCCCTCTGCTTCCATCCTCCCAACGACATGCTCTGGCTGTTCGCTCTGTTCTTTACGCCAGCGGAAAACGCACTCTCTTGTGCTATGACGTGCCATACCTAGCTCTCTGCTCTTCCCCCTTGCCCAGTGGACGTATGTGTATCCTGCTAAAAGGTACCACGGAGAAGTGATATGGTGACATGGCGTAGGAGAAGGAGAGTGGAAGGAAGGGGAACTGGGTTTACCTGTGCTGGGTCGGCCCTTTGTGTCCTCGGGCAAATTACTCACAAACTGTACTGCACTCTTCCACCCCCAAGTTCTTTCCAGAGCAGAATATCCAGAAATGGAGTGGTAGTGTTTTGGGTGATGATTTGAGTAGCTGTGTTCATTTTGTGGCTGAATTGCAGTGAGAGCAGTGAGAGGAGCCCCTTAGGAACAGTTTCTGTTCAGCCTGTGGGGACTAACTTGGAAGAAGTGGCCCAATTCCAGAGTGAGTGTAGGCAGGGTAAACGTGGACCTGACATGGCCTGACCTCTGGTCATTAGAACCCCATCTGGTGGGCAGTGGGGAAGCGAGGTGGCGGGAGTCTCAGTGGTCAGTCCTCCTCAGGTGAGGGTCTGCTCTGCGCTTGGGAATGGGGTGGGTACAGAACGGGGGCTGAGGCATGACTTCTGGCAGGTGTAGAGCAGCCTCCCAGCCTTTTGAGGACCTGGTATTCAGTCCAGGAACACGGACAGAGGCCCACGCCTGTGGGCTGAAATAACAGAGTGGAGATGAAGACAAATATTAATCTTTATGGGTCCCTGGAGGTGCCACAGATGCTCTTCTCGCACTGTGGACTATTCCATCTCCTGCCTTCTGGTGGGGAGGAGAGAAGACTCCCAGTGTTCTGCCATAGCTCCCTCAGGCCTGGTCACACCTGGTTTCTGCAGCCAGACTGGGCTTGGACAGCTGGGGCCTGGCATTGTCTGGGCAGTTTCCCTTCATCTAAGATGACAAATACATTTATTCATTTGTTCAGTAAAAATCTACGGAGCACTTACAACATGCCAGCGTCTGTGAGGGGCACTGCAGGTACAAAGGTGAACCAGATATGGCCCCGTCCCCCAGGACTTCAGAGAGCTTCTTGTATTTCAGAAACTGGAAGAAACAGCTGGGACTGATACTTTTTCCTATGAGTTATGTCATTATATTTTTTAATATTAATATATGCCTATGGTCTGTTCTGCAGCATAATTTCCCCAAATTCTTGGTAGTTTTAAGTTTAAGTTTTGAGTTAAACCTGTTACTCACCATCATCTGCAAAGCCAATTCAGGGTATTTTTCAAGGCCTACAAAAAACTTGAACGGTTCTGAAGGCTACATGCCTAAATGAGTTGTTTTCTGCTCATAAAATATTAAAGGATTGCTATATTCTGATTGAATGCTAGGCATCAAATGATAAAACACCCCGTGGTAAGAGGAAAATTGCTTTTTAATGGATTGCCTTTTTCCCATTGCCATCTTAAATAAGTTACTAGTATGCAAAACAAATCTGAACGCATCCTTATGTTGAAGGAGATATCTGTTTTTTCTTCTGAGGAAAATTAGTTTCACACACAAATCTATCTTCCCTTGGTTTGTATACATCTGTTTTTCTGCATTCCTAAGTTCATCATTCTAAGCACTTCTCAGATTTGTGTTAATAATTGCCCTTGAAGACCATGGTCCCTTTAGTCCTACGAGCAAGTGCTGAGACCAAAATAGCGCCCAATTAAAAATCTAACTGGTGGATTAAAAAGGGTGTTTACAGAAGTAAAAAGATTTAATTTTCTAGAAATGGTTTCTCTTTTTATTTTTAATTTTAGGTCTCTTGAGGAAACCCATTTCTGAAATACCAATTATATTGGTGTCTAAAGCAAACATATTAATGTTCAATTAATTACTGATACCAAATATTTACGTGCAGCTGTTTTTAGCTTGCTTTAAGAAAAAAAAAAATAAAAACCTCATTTTTTCTGCTTCCCAATTATTTTCCAAGAAGCAAATGTTACCTCTAATAGTATAGTCTTAAATAATGTCTATTTATATTCTCAGAGTACTTTATCAAGTTATTTAATTGAAGTCTATAACACCCCTAGGAGTTAATCAAGATCAATAGCATTTACATTTATTAATTAAGGGAAGACTTATGCCTATTGCATGTTGTCTAGGGTCACTGAGCTCAAACTGGAGTTCAAGATGCCCGAAGAAGGACAGTGTTGAAAGAGGCAGGGAAGCAGAGTGGTTGCATTTGGGCATCTTTGAATCATAGCTCAGCCACTAATTGGATGCCTTGGGTATGTTTCTTATAAGTTCTGAGCTTCTTTCTGGTTCCATATCTATAAAACAAAGATAATATGTGCTGCACACATTTGGTGGGAGGCTTAAATGAGATAGTAGATGTTGTGCTAGTTGGAAAGATGGGTAGTTTTTTTGCGTGTAATAGAATCTCACTCTTCATAAGCAAACTGCTGGTTCAGTGAGGTGGAGAGGGTGCTCTGGCTTAAGTGGCAGCTGGAACCAGTACCTGGGACAATGCCCCTTGTTTTTTCACTCTCTACATATTGCATAAAAGTATTATTTTTAACCTGCTTTCTCCATGAGGCTCTTTTGTGAAGAGAGCACACGTTTTCTCTTAGTTTCAATTTTAAAAATCGCAAAGAAGAATACTTGTGCACCTGGCTGTAGTCACATCTGCCCATAGCCTGTGCTGTATAATTGGCAGCCCCAGTTAGAAGAACAAGATTGACAAGGAGGGAGGAGCAAGTCTTCAAAAGAAGAGGTGTATTTGGGTGCATGGAATCAGTGAGGATGGAGGGAGGCAGGGGGCGGTGCCCTTACAGGAGAAGGGAGGCATAGAACAGACAAATCCAGAAATGCTCATTACACGTGTGAAGTCCTTGAGAAGATGCCTGGCTCCTAACTGAGGACAAAAATATGGTTACTGTTGTTTTTGTTATTAAAGCATTTGTTCTAAAAGAAATAATAAATTACTGATGAACACAAGGAAAACTTGATCTCTGGTACCAATAAGTTAATTACTTATCTTTTGAATTACGTAGCACCCTACCCAATTATATTTTAATGTCAGGTAGAACTAGGATATTTCTTTTTCTCACTCATTCATTTAATACCGTAGGGCTCCTTCTCTGTGAGTCAGGATCTTACTAATCACCGATGACTTGGATTTAGAACACATTCTCCATTCTCAAGCAGCTCACATGCTAAATGGGGAGTCCTTCACGTAAATAAACGATTATAAGACATTTTGTCATTGGTAATAGTACGTTTAAGTCACGTTGATGTCTCTAGGAGGCAATGTTTGGTTCTTTTTGTTTGTGAAGAGCCAGTAAGGGCTGGAAAGGAGAGTCTTGGCAGGTGTGATCGAGAAGAAGAGATACTTGCATGTGGGGTGTCACAAAGATGAAGACAAGAATAAGCAGGCAGGTGTGACTGTGTGGAT